CACTCCCTCCCTCCCTCCCTCCCTCCCTCCCTCCCTTCCTTCCTTCCTTCCTTTCTTCCTCCTTGTATGAGTGCGTATTAAGTCAGTTCGTGTTACTTCTGTCTAAGAGAGGTGGGCAGGAGTCGGTCGGCTTCCCGTGCCTATTAGCTTCAATAAATACGTGCCATTTTCAAGAGGCTTAGCACTTTTGAAAATTTCAAAGAAGAGGAAGGAATGGATGAGTGGGTTTGTGGTTAGAGCCCTTCGCAGAAATCAGTCCAAGTGAGCAAATACTGGAACATCCCTGTCCAGAGTAGGACAAAGTAGGAGAAGGGTGCCACCCAAAGGAGGTTCCACTGTCTAGACAAGGCAGGGAGCATAGGGGGTGGGGGTGGGGGGGCTGGAGAAGCCAGCCGACAGGCATCACTAAGTAAACTGCCAAACAGAGAAATAAGAGCAGCTACAAGGGGAAAGGACAAATGTTAAAGAAATCTGATGGTCAAGAATAGGTTGAGCTAGTCAGGCACGGTGGCATAAACCTGTTATTCTACTCCTGGACAGCCTGAGGAAGAAGGGCTTCAGACTCAAGAGGTGGCTTCAGTCCCAGAGTGAGACCCTATCTCAAAAACAGACAAAAAGAAAAAAGACAAACAAACAAACAAAAAACAAAACAACAACAAAAACCCAAAACAGTGAGCAGGACTCCAAGGTCACAGGGTGGCTAACCGAATTACCATGACCATTAGTCCATTATGAGTAAGGAATTCCCTTTCAGAGCCTGTTTGAATATGCTTGGCCCTTGGGAAGTGGCACTATTAGGAGGTGTGGCCTTGTTGGAGGAAGTGTGTCACTGTGTACGTCACTGGTGGTGGCCTTTGAGGTTTCAAAAGCCCACTCCCACTCAGCTCCCTCTGCCTTGTGATTGGGGCAGTTGAAAGTTCTGAGCTACTGTTCTAACACCATCCCTGCCTGCCTGTAACCATGAACCCTGGCATTTCGGTCAAGAACTCTAACCCACTAAAACTGCAAGCCCCAGTAAACCTTTTCTTCTGTAAATCACTTTCCAGGTGTCTCATCACAACTATGGAAATATAACTAAGACGGTTGGTACTACTAGCGCATCGTCTTAAAAACAAACACACATAGTTTACACTGAAGTTTATGTTGGGCCTTGTTTAGTACACTGTAAAGTCACCAAAGTTCTGGAGTTAGGTTGCCTGGAATCGAGCTCTGGAACCACAGCACCGTAGCTGTATGACATGGAAAAATAGCCTAGGTTTGGTTTTCTTTCTCTCTCTTTCTTTCTTTCTTTCTTTCTTTCTTTCTTTCTTTCTTTCTCTCTTTCTTCCTTTCTTTCTCTCTCTCTCTCTCTCTCTCTCTCTCTCTCCCCTCCCTCCCTCCCTCCCTCCCTCCCCTCCCTCCCTGTCTTTCTTTCTTTCTTTCTTTCTAAAAAAATTTTACTTATTTATTTTACATATGTGGGTACACTGTTTCTGTCTTCAGACACACCAGGAGAGGGTATCAGACTCCCCATTACAAATGGTTGTGTGCTACCATGTAGTTGCTGGGAATTGAACTCAGGACCTCTGGAAGAGCAGTCAGTGTTCTTAACCGCTGAGCCATCTCCCAGCCCAGTCTAGGTTTTCTAATAATGAAAATAGCTCTTCTCTCTGAAGACTCAGGTGAGGACTAAACGGGACAATCTCTAAGCATTCAGCACAGTGGTTGGATTGAATTAAACACACTCATGAGTTACTAAATATTCTTCTTCTGCACGGTAGAAGAATTGTTATTAGGTCAACAGTGGAGACGTAGGCCGTCCCTATGTGTGATGGACTCTTACAGAAAGCATTCACACTGTGATAGCCATCAGGAGAGGAATGTTGGGATTTTTATCCCAAACATCCCATCAACTCCTATTACTTCTTAAATTACTTTTGGCATATTTACTAGAAATTATGGAATTATCCATTCGATATGCTTACAAAATGTGTATACATTAAGGTACCAAACTGTTATGACACTGACACAGTTTGCTTTTCAAATTGGCTAGCTGTCAAAGGGATTTATAAAAAAAATAGCCTAAAATAGCAAGTGTCATGAAGATTTGGGGAGTAGGAGGATTCCTTGGCAAACGACAAAGCCTAACAACACAGGGTACAGAAGGTGCTCTCACTTAGAAGGTGTTGCAAGATTTGCTTGATAGTACATAATTTAAAGTTTGTTCCACATTTAAAAAAAAATCTAAGAAAAAAATTAAAAGTGGATTTTTTTTAATGAAAAGTTTATGCTGAGCCTTCAAATAATTCTTTTGGCTTCATGATATTTTTTTTCTTTAAAATAATTCTCTGAAAAGTCTGTACCTGTAAATAATGAATTCTGGTCACTCTTTACCCCCTATTATTCTCTCATCCCCTGCAGCTCCTCAGACGCCTTGAACCCATGTTCTCCCCTCCCTGTCCAGATGCATATGATGTATTCTGGCCTGCTACGTTTAATTATGGTTGCTGGATGAACGTGGGTGGGGTCAGTTTTTAACTGAAAAAATGGCAACTTTATCAACCCAGGTGGTAACCTGGGAAAAAACTGTACCACTTCCTCCAGCACTACTAACAGCCACATTTTTAAAGTACCATCAAAATGTACTCTCATCTCGCTCCTTGCCTACACTGAGGATTTAGTGGTAGATAGAATGTCTAGATCTGCTTTTCTTTCTACAGTGAGTCCATAAAATTTTATTTGTTTAATTTATACAAATATACAAATATAAACATACGTAATAGACACACAAACACACACATATGTTTTTCATACACACACAAACACACACATATGTTTTTCACACACACACACACTATATATATATATATCTGTCCTGGAACTTGCTCTGTAGACCAGACCAGGCTGGCCCTGAACTCAGAGATCCACCTGCCTCTGACTCCTAAGTACTAGGATTAAAGAGATGCGCCATCACCACCTGACTAATAACTTTAACTTGTAAATTTTGTTTGTTTTGTTGAAGTGCTGAGATCAAACTCAGGGCCTTTCTTTTGCTAGGCCTATGCTCTAGCCCTGAACTACATCCCTAGCCCCAGAGTCTGTAACATTTTAGATTTTATCATTTCCATCTGTTAGCAATCAAGGAAGTCTCCAGGCAATGGAGCTTGCTAGTAGGGAGAAGCCTCACAGGTAAAGGGTGTGGCTGACTAGTTTCTTAGATTCTGCTGTGGACTGTGCTTCTGCGCTCCTTCCTTCTGAGGGTGAAACTGAGTAGCACAGTTGTTATTCTGCTGCAAATCTGCTGTCCATTAACGTCTTCCACTTATAACTGGGAACAGAAAAGAATTGCCCTGCCCTCAATTCTAACATTGGCATGCTTCGTTTTAAGCTTGCTAAGCTCCACAGTCTAGATTCATTGGTGTTGTTACACCTTGAGAATTCACGATTGTTCCCTCTAAGACCAAATCAAATCCCAGTGATGGATGGAGAGCTCAGAATTCACCACTAGCCAACCGTTTGTTTTCTGTTATTGCGTAATGTTCTTGCGTGAGTGTTTTTTCACTTAAATAGGTGTTCCTCCCTCCCCATTTCCTGAACGTATCTGTGCCAGAAACCATGTCCAAAGGCATTTGAGCCACTGGTACAAAGGGGAAAAAATTCTTTGGCTTCAGAATCCTGATGAGGGTAGTTTAGCTCTTGACACTGCATAAAGCCTCCCTTGACTGGTTGGCTGGCTTCACCATGAGTGACACACTATGCCAGTGAAGAGAGGCTGTGGCAGGGTGGTACCCTGGCAGACATACTCCACTCGTGGCACTCTCTGACTCAGAATAAAAAGCAATGATGGCCAGAAACAGTTGAGTTGCACTGTTGCATCCCTTAATTTGAAATACAAGTCTGTGTTATTTTATTACACTATGCATTTAGACAGATCTAGGACGGTTTGACCAGGTTGGTTTAGCCTTAAGGATTCAGAGATGTTGAAGTGCTGGATCCTAGCAAGTAAATTCAGAAGCTACCCAGAAATACATGTGTGGGATAAACTTTCTAATTATATCAGACCCGAGAACATAGGATAAATAAAAATCAACAGGAAAAGATAATAAACACTGAAGTCTAGAATTGGGGGAAGTGGGTGGCGAGTTTTACAGGATAAAAAGAGGATAGGACACTTTAGAGAAGGACTCCATGACCTGCCTGCTCCTGCATCTTTCACAGTGTCAAACCAGTACCACATGAATGATGGTGCCAGATTCTGCTGCCAGTTCCA